GAATCATTTTTATTTAATACGTTTGAAACACATCAAACACTGCCTTTGAACTTTCCAACTCTTCAATGGAATTTTTAGCCATACAAAAACCTTTTATATGTTTCAAAGCTTTTTTCATTTAAAAGCTAATGGATTTGTTAAATTCTGTTTGAAATAGTAAAATGAAATGAGATGGATTTCTGAGAGATTGAAATGTAAAAATAGCAGAAATATTAAACTAACTGCAGGGCCTAGGTGGCTCAGTGAGTTAGACGCTTGCTTGTTATCCCGAAGGTCCAGGGTCCAATCCCAGTTGAGATAATACCTTCGAATTTTTCAACCCAGTCTCCACCTGTCAGTGATGCAGGTAAGAGGGGCTGACATGGAAAAAAATCTAGTTTTTCAGATGGGACAATAAACAGAGTGTGCTACTGGCTGTGCATATATTCAAGACTAGGATCAGCCCCTCAAAATGGCACATCTGTCCCTTTAACAACAAATCTCATAACTTATTAACCTGAATCAATCTTAAAATGCCCAGACATGCTTTTAAAACCTCTTTATTTAGAGAGTTGAATTACAGCGTCTGGTAAATTGTTAACGTCTGTTACCCTTTATTAATAGATCTGGCATAATTTTGTCTACTTTGTTTTGTCAGTTTTGATTTGAGAGTATTTATATTCGACTCTTTCTCCAGTAGGATTTGTTGAACTTTGATTCTATTTTTCAGACAAAATTGAAGAGCAGTATTTTAATAACGTCAATATTACAATAGTTATACTTTCATGATGATTAAAATATAAATGGCCAGACTCTCTTAAGAAATCTTTGGCACCTCACATCATTGTCACTTAGTTGAGACCCCCACCCCCCACTGCCATTGAATAATGTTGACAAATCACAATTCTTACAGAGATTGTAAAGAGGTTTTCTAAAAAATATATGTGTATCAGGGACATTGATAACATCAATTTGAGCCATTCCATTTTCAATCAGATGTCTGTGGTTCCTGCAATTCCACAAAAACTAATTTTATGATGACTAATTTCAAAGCAAAGTATGTTTTATCACCATCAAACAGTTAGTTTTAGTCGAATTGCAGGAATCAAAGACATCTGATTGAAAATTGGAATGGTGCTTATTGATGCTATTAGTGTCCCTGATACACATAAAGAATTAAAAAAATCTCTTTACAATCCCTTTAAGTCTATACTATATCTAAATGACAATTCAGCAATATCAAAGATGAAATATGAAATAAGTTCAGTAGTACTGGATATCCAGTATTAAATGTCTAGAAAGGCTGACTATAGAATATCAAACTAGTGTCTATTAATCCTATAATGGTTTTATATGTCCCACGGGATCATCAAAACCATTATATACTTATTAATATGAGAGTCTATGATAATGATATACTGACACCTGATGCCACTTTACAGACAGGTTTGTCAAGATTGTCACAGTGGTTCCTGCAATTCCACTAAAACTGAGTGTTTGATGAGGTCATTAATCACTAGGGGCCTTTTGTGATAAAGTATATTTTGTGATTTAGGGCAGTCTTCAAATGCTTATTTTTTGTGGAATTGCAGGAACAGCAGACAGCAATTGAAAATTGGAATGGTGCAAATTGATGCTATTAGTGTTGTGATTTATTCGTGATTTAGAGTAGTCAAATACTAATTTCTTATGGAAGTGTAGGAACCACAGATGTCTGATTGAAAATTAGAATGGCTCAAATTGATGCTATTAGTGTTGTGATTTATTCGTGATTTAGAGTAGTCAAATACTAATTTCTTATGGAAGTGTAGGAACCACAGATGTCTGATTGAAAATTAGAATGGCTCAAATTGATGCTATTAGTGTTGTGATTTATTCGTGATTTAGAGTAGTCAAATACTTATTTCTTATGGAAGTGTAGGAACCACAGACGTCTGATTGAAAATTAGAATGGCTCAAATTGATGCTATCATTTTTCCTGATGCACACAAAAATTTTAGAAAACCTCTTATACAATCCCTTTAACGGTATGACATTTTCTATCTATTTCTGTCAATATTTAAGTATTTTGATGAAATAATCAAGGACTATTCAGGTCTTTTGATGGAGAAATCTAAAAATAGTTGACCACTAATAAACAGTAAACATCCTAGCCTCCCTATTGAATAGTTTTAATGTTAACTTTCTAAAACTGAATTTTGCTTTAAGCTACTTCTTGAAAAGATCTCGTTCCTAAAATAACTTGGCAACAAATGGTTCGTTTTGTGTTTTTAATTCAATCATAATTATCAGATCGTTAAAGATTTTAGATTTACAATTTCTTAGACTTTCCTTCGTGTTTGATTTTCGTCGGCTAGGCAGGAAATGAAATAAAATCAATGGAGTTTTACATCCTACATTTTTCACCATGTGGACACAAAGACGTAAGACAGAGTGTTGTCAACTAGAACAGTAGGACAGGTTTGATTGTAGTTAGAGTGTAATAATATGTAAATAACTAGAGCTCATCTCAATCTGGGAACATGTTTCAGAAACACAATCCTAATCAGGACATCATTTTTTGGAAATGTGGGTTAACTTTCTAAAGTTAAACTTTATTTATACGAGCCATATTAGAAGGTTCACTGAGCTAATACAAGTGATATTCCATCCTAGTAATATTTGTGGGCTGGGCCATTATGTGCCAATGTTTCAAAATCATCTCTTAGCACAAAAATTGCCTGAAACATGTTTGAGAAATACAATCCTCAATAGGACATCATTTTGTGGAAATGGTGGGGAACTTTCCTAAATAAAACTCTACTGATATTAGCAGAGTAAGAAAATTCACGGATCAGGATAATTTTTGATAATCCATCTAATTAAAGATGAAGTTAGAAATGTTATTGGACGGCTGCATCATTATTTTCCAATGTTTCAAATACATTTCTTTACAAAAAAAAAGTTCTGGCATCCTGGGCAGTGGTTGTGAAAGACTGCCACTCCTTGCTTTAGACTAGTATAATTAAATATCATATAGCACTCTCTATCTTGGAAACACTGATCTCATCACAGAAAAAATCTCCTGACTCCATGGACTGGGTATGGGATTGAAGCGATTGACTCCTTCCAGTAAAGATTTTAAGCACTCTTTGTCTAGAAAAACAGTTTCAAGTCTCGTGTAAAATATTATGGAATGAACTTATAAAAATCACCAACAGTTTAATGGCTTGGCAAGGATTATATATTGTATGGTTTTGTTATACCTGTTGTAAAATAGGAAACCTCTCGTATCTCATGTTTGATCTAAAACCCAGACCCTGAGTAAATATCTTCACATCTTTAAAACTCAATCTGGAGTTACCTAGTTCTGGTTCTATATCTTTAATATAATATCTAGGTTTCCTATGTTTTCTTTCTGTTTGCTATGTTAATAGATTTTAAAATGTGTTCTCTTAAACCTTCACCATATACCACGAACATTACAATTGATACTTTTAATGAAACAAATTAAATATTGAACTGATTTTACAAACTTACAGTAGGGGTCACAGAATTGTCCAGGAAGAGTTACAGCTCCATGTGTTTAACAACTATAAGTGTGGGGCCAAAACCAAGCCATTTTCAGTTTTTTTATTGGTGAGGGTGGGCGGTAGAGGATTGAAGTTGAGTGAGGGCGGGGGGTTTGCATGCATTAATGTTCAACACTCCACACCCTTACTCCTGGCCCAGGAATTACAGATTACATCCCAGAAATGAATCATTAAGACTCTTTTAAAAGAGAAGTAGGTATATTCAAATAAAAAATAATTTATGGCCGTTTTTGCTCAGTATGTTTTTGAAATTTTGCCAATGGAAGATGTAACTGATGAAAACTCAATTGAAATCTAAATTTAGTAACAAACGACAATAAAGTAAAATTTAGAAACGTGTCACGTCTGTTTTCAGATGGTAACTGTAACTTGTTTTTGATATTCTGCCAGTGAGGACATGGCTGTTTATATTTATAGTTTTTTATATTACAAGATAAAACACAGAAGCAAACAATGTTTTGGAAATATTCTGGATACATTTAACAGTTATGTCCGAGTTCAACAGAGTTATCGTTAGTACGACGTAAAAGAGAAAATTTTCAGTGGCAATGCTTGCAGTCACCCCTTTAGCATACTCATATGGATGATTAGTCAGAAACATCTCCCTCTATTTCAACCTCTGATAGATATTATGACAGTTAATTGATGGAATAAAGTCAGAAAAAATAGGCACTGTTTTATGGGGATTTTCAAAGTTTATGAAGATGCATTTTTTATAACATAATATCAATTACCTTTACAATGATTGTAAATTAGTGTTAGACGTACTTGTAACTTTGGATTTATCGTAGCATGTGAACCTGTGACCCCTGAACTTTTAAGAATAAAATTTGATGAAACCAAAGATGAGACATAAATGGTGTAGGGGAATTACGATAGCATTTCTGAACTACAAAAATATCTATATTTCCGAATGTATTTTGGTTTGATGGATCTGATTTTAATATAACAGTATTTAAACCCTTGCACCTGCAGAGCTGCGGAAAGTCCCCATTGAAACAGCACTTTTTTTTGTCTCGACACCAGCTAACAACTCTCTTCAAAATAGCTCTTAGAGGCTGGAATAGAGACAGATGTTTCGGTCTATGGGATGAGTAACTGGCAAAAAAGATTTTACAAAATATCTGAATCTGCATTTAAATCTGAATTACAACCATAAAGTAAAATAAAAAATAGAGGCTTGTTTATTTAAATAAAAGTTGTTTATTTTTGACGTTTTGCCAGTAAGGATCTGTTTCACGGTTAATGGCAAGATCTGAAAATTCAAGGCTTAAAAAAGTCAAATTTCAACATCTTCTACAACTTCTAGTGTTTATTACAATTTAATGATGAAAGTTTTATGACTTACAAACATATAGGTGTTGAAAGATAGAGTGATATTAACAGAATTATAAAATATACCACCTAAAAACCTATTCCATTAGAAAAAATCTAGAAATTTGTTAGATTTTATTGCCAAAGAATTCTACATGTAGTACAAATGACGATGAAATAACAAAAAATATCAGTGAGGGGTTCCTGAGCACTTTTCTGTTGATTCGAGGTCTTGGCTGGTGAGAGTTCTAGTAGGTAGATTTGGTAATATTTACCAGTCTTGGCTGGTGAGAGTTCTAGATGGTAGATTTGGTAATATTTACCAGTCTTGGCTGGTGAGAGTTCTAGTTGGTAGATTTGGTAATATTTACCAGTCTTGGCTGGTGAGAGTTCTAGTTGGTAGATTTGGTAATATTTACCAGTCTTGGCTGGTGAGAGTTCTAAATGGTAGATTTTGTAATATTTACCAGTCTTGGCTGGTGAGAGTTCTAGATGGTAGATTTGGTAATATTTACCAGTCTTGGCTGGTGAGAGTTCTAGTTGGTAGATTTGGTAATATTTACCAGTCTTGGGCGGTGAGAGTTCTAGATGGTAGATTTGGTAATATTTACCAGTCTTGTCTGGTGAGAGTTCTAGTTGGTAGATTTGGTAATATTTACAAGTCTTGGCTGGTGAGAGTTCTAGTTGGTAGATTTGGTAATATTTACCAGTCTTGGCTGGTGAGAGTTCTAGATGGTAGATTTGGTAATATTTACCAGTCTTGGCTGGTGAGAGTTCTAGTTGGTAGATTTGGTAATATTTACCAGTCTTGGCTGGTGAGTGTTCTAGATGGTAGATTTGGTAATATTTACCAGTCTTGGCTGGTGAGTGTTCTAGTTGGTAGATTTGGTAATATTTACCAGTCTTGACTGGTGAGAGTTCTAGTTGGTAGATTTGGTAATATTTACCAGTCTTGTCTGGTGAGAGTTCTAGATGGTAGATTTGGTTTTATTTACCAGTCTTGGCTGGTGAGAGTTCTAGATGGTAGATTTGGTAATATTTACCAGTCTTGGCTGGTGAGAGTTCTAGATGGTAGATTTGGTCATATTTACCAGTCTTGGCTGGTGAGAGTTCTAGATGGTAGATTTGGTAATATTTACCAGTCTTAGCTGGTGAGAGTTCTAAATGGTAGATTTGGTAATATTTACCAGTCTTGTCTGGTGAGAGTTCTAGATGGTAGATTTGGTAATATTTACCAGTCTTGTCTGGTGAGAGTTCTAGTTGGTAGATTTGGTAATATTTACCAGTCTTGGCTGGTGAGAGTTCTAGATGGTAGATTTGGTAATATTTACCAGTCTTGGCTGGTGAGAGTTCTAGATGGTAGATTTGGTAATATTTACCAGTCTTGGCTGGTGAGAGTTCTAGTTGGTAGATTTGGTAATATTTACCAGTCTTGGCTGGTGAGAGTTCTAGTTGGTAGATTTTGTAATATTTACCAGTCTAAAATGTTTAACTGAAGAAGATATTGTCATCAATGGGATTGATTCTTTTAAAATTGTGATTCAAGGTGAATTTTGGAATCAAAGCTTACTTGATGAAATGATTGACAGCTATTTTTCACATCCATGTTTAAGAAAGACTCATCTTGATTTATATAAAAAGAACACTGATCTGAATGTGAAATGAAATTGACATGTTGAAATGTGGAGTGTCAGGACCATACTCTTCATGTCAGACTGATGAAAAATTCGGTTAAAATGGTCGCCCGTGAATTGAATTAAATGGACATCAAATTGAGATTGGGTCGTGTTATTTCTGTTTCCAATGACCTCTTTTAAATACTATGATTTATGTAACCAATATTATGAAACAGAAGATAGTTCTTTTGTGAGCCCACCTTTGACAATTCTGTGGCCTCTACCCCAGGACCCTCCACCGAATGATCCAAAGAAACACTGTATTTCTTATTGCATGATAAATTTTGTGGTTATGTAATTTTAAAAGTAGGAGTAAGACTCCACTTCATTTCGTTAAGCCAATTGGAAATCATTTTATTAATCAGGTAAAAACATAGGATGTAAAACTCCATTTCATAAGTCAAATCTTGAACAGAAAAGTAGTTTGAAAAATCTTCAATAATCTGATTTGGAATAGAAAAGTAGGATGTAAAATTCACAATTCACTACATTTTACAATTAAAACTCCGTACAACTCCACAACACTTCATCCTGAAATATTTCTTTCCAAATCTTTTTCTGATCTGAACTAAACATGTTACTGACAGTTAGGCAGGTTGGTTGTCAGGCTGGTTGTCAGGCTGGTTGTCAAGTGATGTCACTTTTATCTTCTCAATGAAATGCAGAAGACAGCTCAATCAAGATGGCTGCCTGTGAATTGGATTACAATGTCACAAATAGAATTAATCCTGTCTCCTGTGTATTTTTTATATTTATTTTATTGACAGTATTTTTTGTTTCACTGTAAGATCAAAATTTCATTTGTTGTTTATTCTTTAAATGCACCAGTACCGGTACTCACTAATGGCTGATATTTTTATAACGTTATCCCCTAACCTGTCAAATCTAGCCATGACCCTTTCTCAGACGTAATATATTGATCAGCACGTTTAGGGCACACGGACATTGTTTATTATCCAGCAATGTCTTGATGGACTCATGACTAGTTCACCCTTGTATAAGTATCAAAATTTATGCGAATTTCGGCTTTTAACAGGATGAAAATTGGCAAAAAAAGACACTATAAAAATGGATTAGAGCAGCTCCCATGAAAAGTGATATTTTACGTCTGGTGACAATTTACGATCTGAGGAACATGTAAGACCAGATTTGTCGTGCTAGTTACCTCCCCTTTGAACACTTTGAACACTCGATTTAAATGAAATAAAACGTCATACACATTGAACTCCAAGTAATATTAGGCTACTTAAATTGACGAAATTATGTCACTTGGTAACAGCCACTTTACTGGTCGCTTGGGAATATTGCGTAATTATGTGGCGGCAAGGGATAAAAGGATTGAGCATAGTACAGAAGGATTTTCTGAAATCCTAATCAAGTCTAAATGACTAAAAAAAATTCAAATAAAAATCCACAGTAATCCAACTGTTGTTAGAATGAGAAGTTGATCTCACTCAAATCATGGTGTCTGGTTTTTCTATTAGGAATATCTTTTTCTGGAAGTTCCACTGATATTTCCGTGATGGTTCCAGTAAGCTTGTAAAGCCAAGCGAGAATTTAATGCGGATGTAATATGCCAAAACGAATTAAGATTTCTTTTTTCAATGACAATTTAAATCTTTTGCTTTTTTTTTTACATTTGACGTAATTTCAAAAGGAGGAAAATTTGCGGAAGTTATAAATCAACAGCTGCCATTTAATTACCATCAATTTTTTGTCGTAAAAAAACATCTGAACTCCTGTATTCAAGTACAAAATGGCAGAAGTTGCTTCCTGGTACATAACGAGATTGAGAGGTTTTTTTTCAAGATGCCTGTATATATTATTATATATATATTATGTAGTGAATTAAATTGAAATTGACAAAAGAGACAGAAGCGCCATTTTGGGGGCGTTGATTTGAGTCTTTGAAATATGTAAATAGTCTTCAGAAGTACTAGAAATGTATGAAAATTACATAATTATTCCTTTAAAAATACTCCAAACTTGGAATTGTACTCACTATTTCTATATATCACAGAGTATCTTAAATTAACGAGTCGTTTTTTAACCTTCAAATGCGGATAATTCTGGACACACAAAAAGAATGGTGCATCTGTCCCTTTAACATTTTCAACAAATTCAAGAAAGGTTTTTTGGACACTTTACCATTTATTTCACCAGTTTTCCTAAAAACTGAAAAATTAAAGATTAAGACAAATTCCTTTTGTCTTAAGTGGAGAAAAACAATGAATGAAAAATATTACTCAGTTTCAAAATTATAGTTAGATCATTCAAAATCACCATGCCTTGTACCAACTGATATTTAACAATTTAACAAAATGGTTTTAAAGGGATTTTTAACCAGTAATTTGACCAATCATACCTTACCTTAGAAGCTAAGCCAATCAGTAACAGTGTTCACATCTCACCTGCGAATTTTGAGCCTTCAAATCCATGTGTGTCCAGAATTATCTACGTTTGAAATTTAAAATGATGAGTCGTCTTTTCTTGAGACACTGTCAGATACAGAAAAGTTATCTATAGAAAAAGGAAAAGAAATTCCTAGTTTGAGATATTTTTTAAGGAATTATGGGATTTTTATACGTTTCTAGTACTTCTGAAGACTACATACATATATTCAAGACTCAAATCAACTTCTCAAAATGCCGAAACTGTCACTTTAATTCATCGTAGGAAAGAAATTTTAAATCATTTAACAATTTTGTTGATGTAATAATAACAATTTTCTCTGTGTATTTCTTCATCCCCTAATTATCTCCTTGGATATCCAATCTGTAATTTTTTACATATTGTCCAGATTGGTTAAGTTTTACATCTTTCTGATGTGTTTAATGTCGAAAGTTACAATGAATCTTTTTATTATGCTCTGAATCCATACTGCCCTGGTCTTTGATGCTAAATTGAAATAAAGAGAAGTGGAGTTTTATAAACTTTTGTTCTGCTTTGATGTCAAAAGGTTCTAAGTGCTTGAAGACTACTTGAAACATGGTGTTAGAAGTTCAGATATCTCGAGACAGTCTAGGTTTGTATTCTTCTGTAAAATCTTGAAGATATTCCTGTTCGTAACATCCTCGTGTTCTTAAAACAATTCACCATGTTTAATATCAAACATCCTCTTCAACAGACATGACACAAACAAAAACATGGGGGAAAAAAAGAAAGAACCATTTTTACAAGGACAACAACCCAAGTTCATGAGGATCCTGTCTATATAAGTACCGAAAGAAACTATACTATATGTATGCAGAAAATAACCACACACAACAGGATTGGTTGAAACACAAAACATATCAATTACAATAATATTTATTTCTGTACCCCAGATCACCACACTGTAATGTCTGTATTATACTGCCCCCCACCCCCACACACCTTGGAAAATTTAGAAATATTATAGACTTTCTCCTGATTAGAGGTCATATTTGACTAGACCAATCCATCCCCAGGCCAGGTAGTCTTGAAACGATCTTAGCACTAGAATGTCCTAGATTCTTATCTTCTAACATTGATTCTATGACATCCTAGATTCCTGTCTTCTAACATTGATTCTAGGATATTCTAGGTTCTTATCTTCTAACATTGATTCTAGGACATCCTAGGTTCTTATTATCTAACATTGATTCTAGGACATCCTAGATTCTTACCTTCTAACATTGATTCTAGGACATCCTAGATTCTTACCTTCTAACATTGATTCTAGGACATCCTAGGTACTTATCTTCTAACATTGATTCTAGGACATCCTAGATTCTTATCTTCTAACATTGATTCTAGGATATTCTAGGTTCTTATTATCTAACATTGATTCTAGGATTTCCTAGGTTCTTATTATCTAACATTGATTCTAGGATTTCCTAGATTCTTATCTTCTAACATTGATTCTAGGATGTCCTAGATTCTTATCTTCTAACATTGATTCTAGGACATCCTAAATTTTTATCTTCTAACATTGATTCTTGGATGTCCTAGGTTCTTATTTGCTAACATTGATTCTAGGATTTCCTAGATTCTTATCTTCTAACATTGATTCCAGGACATCCTAAATTTTTATCTTCTAACATTGATTCTTGGATGTCCTAGGTTCTTATCGTCTAACATTGATTCTAGGATTTCTTAGATTCTTATCTTCTAACATTGATTCTAGGACATCCTAGATTCTTATCTTCTAACATTGATTCTAGGATATCCTAGGTTCTTATCTTCTAACATTGATTCTAGGATATCCAAGGTTCTAATCTTCTAACATTGATTCTAGGACATCCTAGGTTCTTATCTTCTAACATTGATTCTAGGACATCCTAGATTCTTATCTTCTAACATTGATTCTAGGACATCCTAGGTTCTTATCTTCTAACATTGATTCTTGGACATCCAAGGTTCTTATCTTCTAACATTGATTCTAGGACATCCTAGGTTCTTATCTTCTAACATTGATTCTTGGACATCCAAGGTTCTTATCTTCTAACATTGATTCTTGGACATCCAAGGTTCTTATCTTCTAACATTGATTCTAGGACATCCTAGCGCTAAGATTGTTTTGAGAATATGTGGCCAGGAGTCTGTAAACTAATAGTAAGGAAGTCATTGCCAGATAGTGATGTTATCTTGTACTGTATGTTTTATAATTTCTCTAAGGTTTAATGTAGTAATAGTTATCAGGGATAAATATATTAATATATTCTAGATCTTGGACTGATTCTCATTATACTACACACCCTCCAGGTTGGCTACCTGCTATATATATCTACATCAGCTAGATCACCAGACGTAACTTAAATTGTGGGGTCTCTGAAACTTAACACTTACATCCTCTAGGTTGGCAACCAACTGTAAATTTAACAAACAGTAGATGTTACTTAGAGGATAAGATGGAAGAGTTTATAAGATATAAACTCATTTAGAAAGTTAGATTTCTTAAACAATTTACTGCTTCTAGGTTTTTAATTGTAGAGGAACATGTTGTCAGATTTCCATTCTAAAAGGTGATACAGGTAGCTCTAATAAGGCTCCACATCATGATTAAGGCAGTAATTAGAAAACAAAATCTCTTTAACCATTTAAACACTGAGTGTAAATGAAATATAACGTCATACACCTTCAATGCTCCAAGCGTTTGAAGCAAAGATTTTGTGACGTTACATGTTAAGGGCTACTTAGTGACGTTACATGTTAAGGGCTACTTAGTGAAACAGGGTCCAGTATAGCAGCTGCTAGTGTTGAACTCCAGGGCGTATTACTCAAAGCTTATGATGTTAATTTTATGTGATGTCACTTGATAAGGACTGCTTCACCTATCACTGGAGTATTTATCACATTTTTATATGTCCTCTACAGCTGCTGTTAGTAATGAAAGGTTTAACAAGTGGATGCAGCTGTCTGTTTTGACCAGAATTAAATTTCCTGAGAAGAAATTGATTCTAGAGTATACTAACGATAATTAATTTTGCTAATTGAGCAGACGGAAGAAGGATATGTAGTGAATAATCAATGTTGAAACTACAGTAAAATCTTTATTTGTAATCATTCTGGTCTCTATCGTCATTGATTTTGTCTTTTCTGTCTTTTTATGTTTTTGATTCGCTTGTGAATTTAATCCTGGCTCAAGGCTAGTCACTGAGAAATCGACGTGGTTCTGAGATGTTCAATGGCTGATATACCTTTGAACTTCAACTTTTTTTCTTTGTAAAAAATCTTTGAAAATTGTTTGAGGAATTACAATTTCACATTAATTCATTTCAATTATCCCTTAAAAGGGCATCTGTTTTTTTCATTTTTTTGCTAAAATTTATGAAATTATATACCAAATTCTTAAGAAATGTGTCCCTGGACTGATCTTGAAATTTCAACTAAATAAACCCAGCCGTTAATTTTCTAAAGCCAGAAGTATTTAAAAACTTTACGTAAACATTTTAAGTTTGTTATGCTACCGTGCTGATTTAAACAAAATAAACGCTGAATTGTAGTTTTCAACTAGGAATATTAAGTCTTTATGAATCTCAAAACTAGTTTAAGCTGCTTAATCATGAGTCAGCCATATTAAAAAGGTAACATTATATCACTGCATAAAATCGCCACATTGACCCCACATTTAAAGCCTCCTTCTCTAATCCCACTAACTCGAAGCTAATCATATTTTACATCATTAAAATCAGAGTTGATAAAGCTTTTTAATGATACTTTCAGATTAAGTTTACCTTCACACATTTCTGAGAAAGGACAGTTTTAGGCCAATTTGTGAGAATCTAATGACGTCTATTGGCTAGTCATTCATATGTAGTCACCATCTTATCCATGGATAATGTAATTCGTGTTATGTACCTCGCTTTCAGTGTCTCAAAAACAAGGTGTGAATTTAGATGATGATATCCCTTGAATCATGGAGGCAATATTGGTAAATACAATCATATCTCTGTAAGCTGTGGTTAGAATGAAAGACTGTACTGAAGAAGATAATAGAGTATAGGTTGTAGAGGTTAAACGTGTTTCAGTTATCAGACTAATTACCTCTAAATACTATCTATAAAATCTATCTTTTATTATACTTTTTTTTTTCATGTATACAATAAAAATTTCCAGTACAACAATGTCATCTAGGTATAGTAAGGTGATAAGTACAATAAATGGCACATTATCACATATTTTATCAAGATAACCTAGAGTTTAAAGTATCCTGGACACATATTCTCGATATTAGGGCTAGGATGTCCTAGATTCTTATCTTCTAACATTGATTCTAGGACATCCTAGATTCTTATCTTCTAACATTGATTCTAGGACATCCTAGGTTCTTATCTCCTAACATTGATTCTAGGACATCCTAGGTTCTTATCTTCTAACATTGATTCTAGGACATCCTAGGTTCTTATCTTCTAACATTGATTCTAGGACATCCTAGGTTCTTATCTTCTAACATTGATTCTATGACATCCTAGCTTCTTATCTTCTAACATTGATTCTAGGACATCCTAGATTCTTATCTTCTAACATTGATTCTAGGATGTCCTAGGTTCTTATCTTCTAACATTGATTTTAGGACATCCTAGGTTCTTATCTTCTAACATTGATTCTAGGACATCCTAGGTTCTTATCTTCTAACATTGATTCTATGACATCCTAGATTTTTATCTTCTAACATTGATTCTAGGACATCCTAGCTTCTTATCTTCTAACATTGATTTTAGGACATCCTAGGTTCTTATCGTCTAACATTGATTCTAGGACATCCTAGGTTCTTATCTTCTAACATTGATTCTAGGACATCCTAGATTCTTATCTTCTAACATTGATTCTAGGACATCCTAGGTTCTTATCTTCTAACATTGATTCTAGGACATCCTAGATTCTTACCTTCTAACATTGATTCTAGGACATCCTAGGTTCTTATTATCTAACATTGATTCTAGGACATCCTAGGTTCTTATCTTCTAACATTGATTCTAGGACATCCTAGATTCTTATCTTCTAACATTGATTCTTGGACATCCAAGGTTTTTATCTTCATAAAAATATATTGGACTCTAATCTTACGCAATTTCTAACACATGTTTCACTAAAAAACTTACGAAGATCTCGGCTATGAAGGTTTCACGCACGTCATTCATAAAATTGTTTTATTTAAATAACCTCTTTATTTCATCAATATACAGAATTATTTCTTATTTCTTAAAACTTTTTAAACTTCAAAAAATTTTAATGTGACCAAATGGTAATAAAATTTAGTGAGTAAAACACAGATAATTCTCTCTACATTAATAGGAAACTTAAATCAATTTACAGTATTAAAAAACTTAGAATATTGCTGAACACTCTCGTTAAAAATTTCTGATGTTTATTTAATGAAGATAAGCAATATATATCTATTAAGTAACGACAGTTAATATTGAATTCTGCAGTGGATAAAACAAGTGTAAATTAGAAATATCCATCATGGAAAGTGCTGTAGAATATAATCTATCAATATTTTCATGGTAAATCTAATAAAGATGAAGTTATATTGAATTTTGTGGCAGGTTGCTGATCTGCTGTTGATTTTCTCTGTTAATTTCTCTTTTATCTTTTTTCTATTATTATCATCAATGTCTCTTTAATGTCCGTCATTTACTGCTTAAAGTAGCGCTGACACAAGATTATTTTCAAACTTATTTTCCTGCTGACAGTGAAGCAGAGAGGGTGTTATTATTTATAATGTTTTTATTAGTTGGTTAATTGTCTCCACATTGTTTTGTCACATATATCTTTACTGTGATTTTCTTCTGTCCTTGTCACTCAGTGATGCAGGTCAGTGGAACTGGCATAAAAAAGAGCCTTCTGTTTTGGATGGGCCAAGGACTGGATATATGTTTTATCTATACGATATGATTAATGTTTTATAGGATAAACTCTGTAAAATAAGTGTGTGCTACAATTTGAACATAAATCAATACTATAGGAAAGCTACTGGCCAATCTCCCTCATTGCACAGTGCATACAGTACTGATCCATCTGATCCTGCTGTGTTATAAAGTTTTGGTATTGGTTCTTCGCTTCCATAATAAACTTCACTTTAAGGAATCGTAGTTCTGCTGATGAATTACAACCAGACTTTTGGACAAATAGAAATTCAGAAACTCCCAGTAGGTACAGACAAATTACCTGAGTTGTATTATATATATTTCTAATTGAGAACAGCATCCACAGACGTCCATTAACTAGTAATATCTGTCTGTACCTCCCGTTTCTAGAATACAATATTAATCCTTTCTAGTCTGGTTTCAGTCGAGTTCTATCAGCTTTAAATAGTTCATCTCCTTGATATTGGTTTTATTCTCAAGTCTATAATAGAGCCTGATTGAAAATAAATGAACATTTTATGCTGATACTTTATCTTTGATAAATGAAACGATGATAGATTGATCTGGAAGTAAGACCTTGATAAAAAGAATTACTAGCAATTTATACATTTATATTGGTTGTTTACCATTCATTCATTCTTAAAAGTGAATACATCATTTATTCATTCATTCATTCATTCACTGATTCACTGATTCACTCATTCATTCATTCACTCATTCATTCATCCATTCATTCATTCATTCTTAAAAGTGAATACATCATTTATTCATTCATTCATTCATTCATTCACTGATTCACTGATTCATTCATTCACTCATTCATTCATTCATTCATCCATTCATTCATTTATTCATTCATTCACTCATTCATTCATTCACTCATTTATTCATTCACTCATTCATTCATTCACTGATTCATTCATTCATTCACTCATTCATTCATTCACTCATTCATTCATTCATTCATTCATTCATTCATTCATTCATTCATTCATTCATTCATTCATTCACTCATTCATTCATTCATTCATTCACTCATTCACTCATTCATTCATTCATTCATTCATTCATTCATTCATTCATTCATTCATTCATTCATTCACTCATTCATTCATTCATTCATTCACTCATTCATTCATTCATTCATTCATTCATTCATTCATTCTGTATTTGAGAAGATGTGATATCTTTAGAAAAAAAAAGATTTATCTTATAATGATTTTATTGTTCCAACAATTTAATTTGTCAATGAATGAAATTGAATTTTAAATCAAGTTTTTTCAACCAATCTTATCACTGTTTTTTGTCAAATTTTATTAAACTGGTCTCAGAGCATTTATTTATAATTCACATTCATTCATATCTAATTTACTAACATATTTTATCAATTTACTGTATATTTTTAACTATCTATTTAAAGTTCTCTTTTTCTGTTTTCAGGATTCACGATTCCATGAAGAAGTTGACAAGAAAATGGGGTATAAAACCAGAAGTATATTAAGTATGCCATTAAAGGACAGGGATGGTGTGGTAATTGGAGTAGCCCAGGCCATTAATAAAATTAGTCCTGCTGACGAACCTTTTGACGAACATGACGAGAAGGTGGGTTATTAGATTTCAAAAGTCAAGGTCACTGTGTTACTAATGGCGTCAGTGTTACTAATGGCATCAGAGTCGACTTTTGACTGGTTTTACTTTATAAAAGGTAAAAAAAAAGTATAAGAAAAAATAAAATTGGAAAAGGCACTTGACTCTAGCCGAGATCAAAAACATGTAACCTACAAGAATGGAAAAATTAGAATGTATTTTCTTGATCGACGCACTGACTTGAGAATATACGTAATAATCTTGCCCTCGCTAGTATACAGATCTATTACATATATATATATATATATATATATTAGAAGCTTTATTTGCTTATATCTTTTGAAATAATATTCAAAACTTTTTCGTTGTTTTGGAAATCGGGTTTCATTTTGCAGATCAGATGATCAATACTTGGTTTATTTATTTTTATTAACACAATACTTAAATAAATCAGTGAATACTCTCACTTCAAGACGAAGTCCTGAGATCCCTGAGGACTGACAGTGTAGTGGCGTTCTAAGGGGCCACAGAATTTCTTAAGGGGGCCACAGGCAATTCGTTTACTCTGTAAAATATGATAGTGGGGGGCCCCACCTGTAGGAACACTACTAGTCTGACTGATAGAAAAAAATTCAGAAATTTTCAGTCTGTTTCTTTAAATGTGAAATGCAGCCATGATAAAATTCTCTATACTTTGATCATAATGTCATTCGAAGATTCAAAGTAATATTTTTAAGAAACGGATTTTGACTGTAATTTTTTTAATTTTTTAGAAGTCTTATAATGAAGAGAAATGGTTGGACAATTTTAGCCAAAGGGAAAGTAAAAGCTTTTAGACAGAAAGGGATAGCAAGAGAGGCTTTCTGATTATATAGTTTCTACTTTGGTCACTGTTTCATCTTTTTCTAGGTTTTTCCGCCAATTAATTGTGATTATCTGTCATAATGACTACTGTTAGTAGCTTTTACTTCATACATTATTGACAAACTTCTCATTTTTTACAAGATTGGTTGATATTCGATACATTAGGAAAGGTTAATTGACGGCACTTTCTGTGTTTTTGATGTATCAGTATTTATCTATTATCAGTTGTTTGAGAGTATTAGTAAAGAGATTGTAAAGAGGTTTTCTAAATTTCTTATGTGTATCAGAGACACTGATAGCATCTATAAGCACCATTCCAATTTCAATCAGATGTCTGTTGTTTCTGTAATTCTATTAAAACTAATTGTTTGATGACGTCACTAACACTTAGTTTTAGTGGAATTGCAGGAACCACAGACATGTGACTGAAAATTGGAATGGTGCAAATTGATTCTATCCCTGTCCCTGATATACTTAAAAATTCTAGAAAACCTATACAATGCTATCCAATGCTATATAGACAGTTTTGTAACTTGAAAGATGTTTCTTTATAACAAACAAGGCAAGAACTAACTGTGGTTAAAGTAGAATTAGAGCTGAGGTCTTCATGTATTTCTATTGAAGTCTGAGAACATGATATTTAAAAATATTTACAAATCTGACTATTGTGCAAAACAAAATAAGTTTTGAACTAATGGATTACTCTCTCTTTCTCTCTATTTACATTAAAAGCAAGAAAAGAAAGAAAAATTTTACATGCTTTCCAAAATTGATTAATTTGTGTCCAAAGGGATATGTCATTTTTTAATAACCTCGTTGTAGCACTTTCTCAACTTTTTAAATATATAGAACTTTATGACCTAGATAAAATAATTTCCTCAGTGCTTAAAGACTTGAATTCATGATAATTGCAACAGGCTTAGTTATTAAGTTTTGTATTTTTGTAAGTTTTTAATTAAGTAGACTATTTCTTAAAACTTATTAACAAATACAGCTGAAAGTTAAATTACAATCTATTGCAGAATGTCAAAGTGACTTAGAAATGTCGTGCGTCATTCTTAATTTCTCATCTTAGCCAGTGATGTCTGATTGTTGATAACAAGTTACTTAATAACTGATTTAAGTAAAAAATATTGGTTTCCATAAATCCATTAATATCATTAAAGCTAAGATTCCATATATGCATCATGCGGACATAAATGGCCCTTGCGGATCCGTCATGCATCAAATATGATTCCATATGTACGTCATACCCTCTTAAACCAACCATTTCGATTTTTAACGCATGACGGATGACACATGATGGATCCGCATGACGCGTATATGGAATCTTAGCTTAACTCAATCTCTTTTAGCTTGGATTTGAATAGAACATTTGCAAATTCAATGGCCATATTGAACAAGTTTAAGCCACATTACTTGTGGACAGGATAGCGTTTGGTGAAGTATTTGAGATTTTGCCAGTCGACTGATAAATATTATATACATCCACCAGCAAAATCCCAAAATCTTCACCAAATGCTATCCTGTCCACAAGTACCTGAGGTTTAATTCCAACCATAAATATGAAGTAGGGTGCAGCATTGACTGTTAACGTCCCCCTGTACTGTTAGCCAACTATTTATGGTGATTACATATTGAGTCTAGGTTGTGTAATCTTAATAGTGAAGTCTTGTCATTAATGTAAACTGGTACTGTGTTGTATTTGCTTATTGCTACACTAGCAACAGGTATAAGGTAAATCTCATGGTCAAAATATTGACCACAGGATTCAGTGAGATGTCTATTTAACGTTGAAGACACGGAACCCTAATTACGTTACGGTACGGTATCGACCAATCCATGCTAAGATGACAATAGCCCAAACTCGTTCCTCCGGTGCGAAGGTTTAGATGAAATGTGGAACCAGTTTAGCCTTCAATGGTGGTTTAATCTAAAAGATAAAATACCTTTAATGTTAAGAAACAAGAGTTTTGTGAATATAAACTTCTATATATTATTTAAATACAATGTTTTATTATGTATACAGGTAACGTTCTCTAGTTATTTCTTAATGTGCTGTGATACTTCTAAATGTCTTACAAAGATTTACTTTAATTTGTTTTTTCAGGTTTTTGGTTCGTATCTGGCTTTCTGTGGTATCGGCGTTAAAAATGCTCAACTTTATGAACGTTCTCAGTTAGAAAACAGACGAAATCAGGTAAAATCTCTAGGTTGTTTATAAGACTGGATAGAGTGTGTCCGTGGTCTATTTGACATCCCTCAACTTTATAATGAACTCTTCCGCACTTGCATACTTTCTATCAATATTCAACTATATATGTATGATTGGAAGAGTTCATTTGTAAAGTTTTCCTTTAGATATCTGTGGTTCCTGTAATTATAGAAATACTCAATAGTATGTGATGACTGGGGCACGGGGGCCAGGGAGGAACATGGCCTCCCAGAAAAGATGCTGGAATATTTTGTGGCCCCTGCTCAGCCCCCCTTACCTAATGTTTCATAGAAATGCCACTTTGCCTTGGTCACAATGGTGCAGAAAAGTAGGATGTAAAACTCCATTCATTTCATTTCATTTGCCTTGGTCACAGTGCATTAGTTGTTTTTATTATCAAGAACATATATCAGAGAAGTGAGTAGAGTCTCAGTGATAGGCTTGAGGTCACTGTGCCCTAGATGATAAATATATTTATAAGTTATTTTTCTAGTAATAATCATGCTTATTCTCAAGATGAGCTCGGGGCCTATATTAAAACACAATTCAATTTATTATGTTCGAGTTCTACAGATTTTTAATTGGATTTGATGCTTTTTTGTCAATCTTATAAAAGCCATACTATAATAATCTGGTTGAAAGAAAGAAAATATGATTTCTAAGTTTAATGTATGACATTATTTTTAAATCTATACATGTCAATATTTTTCAAAATAGCTTCAATCTTGGTAGAATGATTTTCTTGAAAATTCAACTCAATTTCTGAGTAACATCTCTTTCTGTTTCTACTTAGACATTCGTTTCCTTGACGTCATAACATCAATTTTAAGTTCCTGTATGGAAGTAATTTCGATAACCATCTTCAGATTAACTCATAATTTCTGAATCTATATCATGTCCATAACCTTCAAGATTACTTGAATTTAATATAATAATATAATATAATATAAAATATTATATCTCTTGTAATCTTCATCAAAAATGAATATTTCCACTCTCACTGTATTTGTCACAGTGAACCCTTTGACAAGCAAT